GTTATCGTATGGGTCTCAAACGCCGTTTGGGCCTCTAAACCCAGATATTTCCATCTATTAATCTTCTCGCTGCTCAAACCCTACTTACCTAACTTCACATGTCCACCCGGCCTTCACACAGCTTTGAACCGCGCCGATTACGTAAAACAGCATCAATACCCCCCCCGAACAGAATGCCAGACTCACCTACCTAAGCCTACAACATAAGGAGACGAGCGCGCTCTGCTCAGACTCGATCGCTTCGTCTTTATTGGTTGTGCCGCATATTCTTCACCCCCAGTGGTTTTTTGGAGTATCTGACATATATACGCAGCCTTCTGTTCATCATATGAGTCGTTGACGAGTTGTATTCCATAAACATTCTTAAGCTGTGCCCACCCACGCACTTCGATGCTTTAACTTTCAAGTGGTACAAAAAAAAATCCTTCCAGGGGTGCCATGCCCGCGGACCCTCTATAAGGCTGCTGAGGTCCTCACAAATAAAACCAGGTTCATGGATAGATAAGTTTGCACACTCATTATATACACTACGCATTTTTCTTGGATTAGTTAACACCATAGTCCCTAATATATATTTGTAGAAAGGCAGGAAATGGAATTAAATAGAGAACAATGTTTAATTGCGGAGGACCCCGTTTTGTGTCCCCCCCACTTCTCAAACCAAAGTTACACCCTTGTATTAGAGGAATGTCACCTTCAGTTTCATAAAATGATGCTCTCTTTTTAGAAGCCAGAGACAAGTTTCCACTGAGGTGTATAATAATGTAAATATAATCTAATAGAAAATAAATCACAGCAAAGCCCATAGAGCTCTTACAGATATACCCAATAGCAGAGTGTTATCATTTCATCACATTACTGTCAATCTCTATGTCCTCCTGTCTGTCCCTGCAGAAACACAGCAAAGATGTAGACATGACGGCTCTGTGGCTGAAGAACGCCTGCCTGCTGCACGACCTGCTGCGCCAGCACTCCCCGAGACAGGTAGGATGAACATGTTTTTACCATTCAATTCTCCTACCATATTAATGTTTATAAGATGACACACTAAAGCCAATTCTTAGTGTGTGTAAACTTGCCAGTAGATCAGATTCTGATTTACCTTGATGAGTGTACGAATGCATTGATTACTTTTTCAGACTCTTGACTCGGACGACATAGCTCCTCTGACCGTTGATCTGAGTGACTTGATCCGCGCCCTGAGCGACCTCTGCATCCAGGCCTATCAGCAGCTCCTCTCCATCACTGAAAAGCGCCTGCAGAACATCATCGGTACCACTATGATAAAGACAACACTGATGCTATGGGTCTCTAGCCTCCACTTTCTTCTCTGATCTCCCCTCCTGCTGCCTCTTCCCTTTAGTCCCTGCTATGCTGGAGAGTGAGACCATCCCCGGTCTCTCTGGCTCCACGGTGAAGTTGGTAACATCCAGAAAGCGAGCCGGCTCTGACCCCCGGCCTGTGGGAGGCGATGCTCCCTCGATGGCGGCGGTGCTGAGGGAGCTGGGGGCGCTGCACACCGCCCTGTCCCATCAGGCTCTGCCCCCCTCTCAGATGGAGCAGGCCTTCCACCAGCTCACCTACTTCATCTCCGCCTCCGCTCTCAACAGCCTGCTGCTGAGGAAAGACATGTGCTGCTGGAGCCGCGGCATGCAGATACGGTAGAGAAATACGCTGATACAGTATATATACACATATCATATTATAGTATATTATGATATGCTATAAATGTCTTTAAAATGTCTGAATACAAAGTTCTAATATAGTAAGTCTTAAACACGCCATATAAGAAGTTACACTATGGTGTAGTAATTGTAAAGTGTGTCAAAAAAGTAATCTAATGTCATACAAGTACATGCATAATATATAACACTATCATAATTGCATTTTTTGACTTATTAGAGTATAACATTTTTATGATTTCAACGACAAACTATACTATGACTTTTTTATGGAATACTTATAATTAGAGTTGTCCCCCTGTGTTGGATGTTGAGAGGATTGAGAGGATGTTATCTTAGTAAACATATTTGATAACTGTTTAATCACCCTGTTTTTTTGCTATTGTCACTAAGCTATAATGTGAGTCTGCTGGAGGAGTGGCTGCGGAGCAAAGGGCTGCAGGCAGGGGGCGCTGTTGCCACACTGGAGCCCCTCATCCAGGCGGTTCAGCTGCTGCAGGCCGGGAAAAAGAGCGAGGCGGATGCAAAGGCCCTCGTTCAGACCTGCACTGCCCTGTCCAGCCAGCAGGTGGGTCTACATCTGTCTGTTTTTGGCCTAATAAGAGAAAAATGCAGTTAAAGTATAATTTATTGAATAATGTCTGTTTTATTTTACAGATTGTGAAGATCCTGACCCTCTACACGCCCCACAGTGACCTCGATGAAAGAGTCACACTGAATTTCATCCGTACTGTCCAGGTAATGTCTCAATCCTGCATGTTTTTAATCATTGAAATCAGTGTTTCTCATGTGAGTTGTCTCTTCCAGGGTCTTCTGAAAGGCTCCTCTGACGGCCAGCCTCCGCAGCTCCTCATGGATGTGAGACGAGTGTTTCCTGTCACATTTCCCTTCTCGCCTCCTGCCGCCCTCCACGCTGAGCAGTTAGTCATCCCAGACTCCCTGAAGATCAACTTTCTACGCAGAGCCTAGAACAGCATGCCCTTGTCAATTAAAAATGTGGTAATTTTGTATCTAATTTGAACTTCCAACCTATTTAATGTAGTCCTTTGAAATGTAAAGAACTTCCAGGAGTTGTTGTGAACCTAATTCCTGATTTTTGTATAGTGGTACTTACCTTGTTTAATTAATATGTTAATTATCAGTGGATTAGTGACTGAACTGCAGAAGGTCACAGGTTAATCATGTAAATCTTAGATAACTAAAACGGTATGAAGAGGAGTTGTTAAACAATGTCGTAAAGATAAGGATAAAATTAGACAATTATGTAGTCAGGATTAGCAAATGTGCAGATATATCTTGGTGCATTTTGAAAGAAATAGCAACGACATTAAGCCTTTTTTCATATTTTATTGGAAGCAGAAACACAACGAGACTGCAGTCCCAGTAACCTCAACCCCCAATAAGAACAACCAGAATAAAAAAAACGCAAAAAATTAGAAACATCTCGTGTATAAAAAAATGCTCATGCGAGTACTTTGTATCACTACACATCATCAGTAATACATATTTATATATTCACAAACATTTGAAAAATAGAAAACAATAATAAAATATCAAAATAAAAGGAGACAACGATTGGCAATTTAACATCAAGTAGTTATGCGCGCTGGCACGAAACATTTTTTTCTTTTTAGTTTCATTGGTCCTATCATGCACTTTTTCTGGAAGTACAGGACTGTCTGAGCAGCCGCCTGTCTGCGTGGCCGGGTCAGCTAGACAGGACAGATCATGCATGTCTGTCTGCGCTCTGGCTGTGTGCTTTTCTTTGTGCTTCTACATTTATACTCGTCTTTAACTTCTGTGTGCATACATGCCAATTCAACACCCCAACACGCAAACTGACCCTCTGAGGGAGGAGACTGAAGTATCATTGTCAACAGCAATAAATAAAGATAATTTTTTCGTGGCATGAGACGGTTGTGTACCTGTTTTTTTAAAGTTATTGAAAGACTGTGCAGAGGTCTTTTGTAAACCTTGTACTCACCGGAAAGGGACAACATGTTTAGATGACTTAAATAGGAAGATGGGTTATTTTACTTAAAGTTAGAAGCTAGCAGTTTGTTCATTTGGCTCTTAATCGAGCCAATCAAATGATTCAATTGGCTTGTTTTCCATCGCCAGTCTGTACATGGTCTTCATATATCTTTCATTTATAGCTACATATCCAAATTGGGCACCCACACACACAAAATCGTCAACTGCACCCAGAGCAAATATTCAAGTCTACAAAAGAGCAGCAGACTTCACTTCACATAGTCTGACGTGTTTCGAGCTATTTACAACGCCCAACGACAATAATCGATCTCTCCGTTCCAGATTAATTTTGTCAGCGCTGAAAGGCTGTACAAACGAATCTCAGACTCTAATCAGCTCTACTACAGCTGCGATATTTGGCCCATTACAAGAGAGACAGCATGTACAACATATCAGACAAACACTTGCTGATATAATAAGAATAATCCACAATGTAAACATTATAAGACTGCTTCGAAAATTACTCATCTACATAGATTTTTATAGACTAGATGCATAGAGTTCAGTTCTTACACTTTGTTCAAAAGAGGGGTCCTGTTAAATTATTCCTTTACGAACAAGTGCTTTAGGGGGGGGGGGGGAACTTAAAAAAGAGGCAGAAATAGAAAAAACTAACACCCTGTAGATTTTCTTCTTTTTTAAAACAGCCTGGATGCTTCTTTTTTTTCCTTCACGACAAACATACACATCTCGTATATATATAAATAAACCAATCAATCTTTTAAAAAACGGGCATTCATGAAAATAGAATTAAGAGTCATGCTGGACAGTCAATTCAAACACTTAGTTTTAACACATCTCTAGGATGAATTGAAGCCTCGATGTGTAATTCCTGTCATTTTAAAAGCAATTTCTGGACGATAAATGAAATGATCAGAGTATAGATGTGTTATTATGGGTGCAGTAAAGACCCTGTGCTTCTAGATTTCCACACTACATCTCTACTAAGCTGTAGGCCCCCCTTTTAAATGTCAGATCCAGACCTGGTGTGCTCTGGATCTGCAGCCCTTTATCAGAGGTCTGGCTTCTAGGTATCAGGGTTATAGCACCTGCAGCTGAGGGATCATGGGTAATAGACCATCACTTGTTCATGCTCTTCATGTGGTGCGATGTGGTTTTTTTACAACACACATAGATATTTTGCCTCAGAGCATTTTACCATTGGCAGTCAAGATTGCTCATCCTCTTTCATGACCCGCTCACACACCCAGTACAGGGCTGTTGGGAATGTTTACAGTAGCACAAAAACAAAATGTAAATCCCCCATCATAAGATATAAGAACGATCCACCCTCGAGTAAAAGACACTTTGTAAATCCTCTAAAATCTAATCTGAATGTGAACCGTGTGAAGTTCTTAGCTTGTGATGGCTTTCTGTGATTATATTTGCAGGTAACAGGCAACACGGGCGGCTACATGAGGTCAACAGTGGAACATTTTACAAACACACATTATGAGCTCCACACATGCTCAAAAACGCAGATTCTCACACACACACACACACACACACACACACACACACACACACACTGATGAATCACAGTGCTTGAAGGCGTGTTTTCATCAGATTCATCTCTCCATACAGACGATACGAGGGTCAACGAGACAGAAGGCATTGAGGGTGTCAGGCAGTGTGCTCTGTTACCTGGTAGACGGACAGAAAGACAGACGAGGACAATCTTTCAAATCCCACGCGTCCATTGAACAATCCTGCATAAAAATGTACGTGTGTCCTTCATATATTGTATATTATGATATATTGAATTATTTGAATATAAATACAATTTGGAAAATAACTATAAATAAATATTTAAATTATCTCTGTCTGCGCCCGATATCTGGAATGTTTTAGGACTTTTTCAGTCATTGTTTTTAATTGGTCAGTTGTGCTTAGGGCTGGTCCTATACTTCAGAGATTATCTGTTGGCACTTGGAAACCAACATATGAAAGGCTACAATATATTTTCTTAACTAGTAGATTGAGGTGTATGTGTGTTAATGGCGTGACTAACCTCTACAGACAGAGGAAAGTAGATATAAGCCGTATGATTAAACTCTGTCATTTTTCATCAAAAGGATGGCTGATAATATCTGCACCGTTAAAGACACTGGTGCGTTTTTAAGGGAAATGAAAGATGAGTTGTTCAGCACTGTACTCTACCTACTGACATGGGTGTATTTACAGCACTGGATGTGTGGTGACTGTTATCTGTGCTTTTACAAAACTGGATCAGCAGGGCAGTGGCTAGCAGAGGCTCAGGAGAGCTCCAGGGCAGTAGGTATCGACGTCTGATTGAGCTTCAAACATTTTTAAAACTAATTGTTTTCGTTTAGCTGCGGCCTTCCTCTGCAGAGCGCTGGTCCGACTTGAGCTTGACGAACTCCTTGGCCACGTCGTCGTTGTTGCGTTGGGAGAGGATGCGCAGGACGGTGAGGCCCGTCTCGTCCATGTTGATGCGTTTCCCCAGCGGCAGCCAGCAGGCCACGCTGCCTTTGGAGGCCATGTCCTTCAGCTGCAGGACGGCCATGCCCACGGTGCGGTCCTCTCGCGCGAAGCAGTAATCCTTCACACACACCTGCAGCTCGTAGCACTCAGGCCCCACCTCGCTGCTCAGGGGGCTGCAGAGGACAGGATGTCATTACAAATGTTCTACAGGCCCTATGTCATTTTTTTCTTATATTTTTGATGACGTTTTTTTTTCTTTATTCTATGTGTTTTTCCTCATATTTTCTACATACCATATACTTTTCTCTGTCTTTGTTTTTCTGATAATGTTGTTTCAGAGGAGAGGATTTCATCACACAGGTTCTAAATGCATGATTTAGAACCTGTGTGGTAGATATCAGATATTTTCTGATATCTACCACATACTTTATGTCGTTTTTTTCCTTATATTTTTTATGTACTATACAATGTAGTTTGAAAAAAACTAATTCCACATTCTATACTATGTGTTTTTCTCATATTTTCAACATACCATATACCTTTTCGTATATATTTGACATTTCATACTATGAAATTTGTTCTGATATTTTTAACTTAATATCCTGTGTCATCTTTCCTGATTTTTTCAGTATATTATACTGTGTCGTTTTTTTCGACATACTATATTATATATTTTTTAAGGCATAATATACTGTGTCTTTGTTTTTCTCATAATTTCAACATACTATATACTTTTTCGTGTAGATTTGACATTTCATACTATGACGCATTTTCTAATATATGAAACCTAACCTTAAAACCTTAAAGGTGACCTATCATGCAAAATGCACTTTTGTACGTCTTTTATACATGAATATGTGTCCCCGGTGTTCCAAAGTGTCAGAAAACACAACACTCTATTTTCCTCCATACCCAAATCTCTTAAAAAGGGGCTCCAACGGATCTGATACAGACTGATCCAGATTTGAACACTTCTATGACGTCAAACTCCACCAATCAGGAGGAGACAGCCACGGACATTGCCGTTGGAAAGCGCTGGAGACGCTGTAGTACATATGCCAGGCCTGTAGATGGTGCTGTTCTCACAGAATCAGCCCATGTCAAAGACAGTGTTAAATTGAGCGAAATGAGGAATGGCTAAAATGCATGATCTGTTTGGTATTTGGAAAAATAAAAAGTATAAATATGCCTTATATAGGTATGGTCCTACACTATATTATTCAAATATAGCATGATAGGTCCACNTCGACATACTATATTATATATTTTTTAAGGCATAATATACTGTGTCTTTGTTTTTCTCATAATTTCAACATACTATATACTTTTTCGTGTAGATTTGACATTTCATACTATGACACATTTTCTAATATATTCAACTTAATATCAGATTTCTTCGACATACTAAACTATGAAACCTAACCTTAAAATCTTAAAGGTGACCTATCATGCAAAATGCACTTTTGTACGTCTTTTATACATGAATATGTGTCCCCGGTGTTCCAAAGAGTCCCTTTGGAACACCATACCCAAATCTCTTAAAAAGGGGCTGCAACGGATCTGATACAGACTGATCCAGATTTGAACACTTCTGTGACGTCACAGAAGTGGCGCTACGGCTATTGGGCCAACTCCACCAATCAGGAGGAGACAGCCACGGACATTGCCGTTGGAAAGCGCTGGAGACGCTGTAGTACATATGCCAGGTCTGTAGATGGTGCTGGTCTCACAGAATCAGCCCATGCAAAGACAGTGTTAAATTGAGCGAAATGAGGAATGGCTCAAATGCATGATCTGTTTGGTATTTTGAAAAATAAAAAGTATAAATATGCCTTATATAGGTATGGTCCTACACTATATTATTCAAATATAGCATGATAGGTCCACTTTAAAACAAACAAAAACACAACTCATCAGTATTTCTACTCACAAAATGAAGGATTCATTGTATTTAGGGGCCCAGCTGTTGTTCTTCGACTTGGTGGCGTACTTCCTCTTCTTGTCGCTGAGGTGAGGGCCGATGATATAGATCTCCACAAATGGCCGGAATATTCCCTGCGTCTGCCACCTCAGGTCATTGGCGGCCACCACTGAGACGGAGAGAGGGGAGGAGAGGGGAAAGGTGTGGGTGAGAGAAAGCGAGAGAAAGATTCATGAGGAGAAAATGTGTGAACATTTCGGAGCGGTAAAAAAAACACGAGTCAACAGAAAATAAAAAAACAAGAAAATGCTGGTCCTCCCTCAGGTGCCATATTCATAATGAGATGAGGGACACTTTATATATTACTTCATTAAAGTTGTATATTTCTTTGCAAGCTAAAAGGCATTTATGCAATATATGATATTGAATTTGATTATCGTTTAGATTTGTGCAGTCATTAATCCGACATGTGGATCAAGCCATATCAAATATAGTTTGATTCAATGTTTTAAAACAATATAATGTGATATTTTCCTCAGTGGTTTAGTACTTTTTTCTAAGCACCGTATATCTTGCAGCAGAGTATAAAGAATATCTTGACACTATAACCTGTTTACAAACTGTATAATGTAAAACTAATCGGTCATATTTCATACAGCTGATAGAGATACACCCAGGTCAAAATCAATGTGCCTGCTTATTCAAAAGATTTCAATGCTCTTTATTAGTGTTTTCCACTTCATCCACTGATCATGTCTAATTGAGTTGGATCTGTTGACATGCAACTCAGCAGCTGTTCTGATTTCATTCATAGGACCTTTAGGACAAAGTTATTACGTTGTGTTATCGTGAGTATGAAAAGTAGTCCCTTACCTTTCACTGTGACCTTGTGCTCTCCTGTGTTAGGATGGGTGAAAATCTCCACATGTATGGACACCTCTCCCACAGCATCGTCCACTCCAGATCCTGAGGGCACACACAGAGAGTCAGGCTTTCCCCTTTAAGCCTTCAAATGTGGAAACATGGACTCCTCTTGCTTCTCTCTCAGACCAAACACTCCCACAAACCACTGCGCCCAGATCGTCCTCCTCATTTTGAAAGGTTACAGAACAATTCCATTTCAATTTAATAAAGTGAACATTGAAATGGATTTGACTCAAACCTTTTGGATATTAAACGGAATATTGAATATGCACACATTTGTTTAAATAATGAACTAATCACTATGTAAGAGGAGGACGTAAACGTAGGCGTAGTGATCTGTTGGTGCAGCTGTTGTGGTCTCGAAGTGGAAAGACAGAGCTGCTATGAGTGGGCAAACGATTTAAAGGTAGTTTCAGTAATTCTATGTAATGCATTTAAAATATTTTCTACAGAAGCTTTCTCTATTAAGCCACGACGTAGTTTTTTTCTCAAATTATTTGACACACTATGTGTTTTTTTCTGATATTTTAACATAATATATTCTGCCATATATTTGACATACTATACTTTATAATTGTTTTGACAAACTATACTATGTCTATTTTTCTGATATTTTCAACATACTATACATACTTTTGCCCTGACCTGAAACAACTTTTAGTTTTTCCAGAAACTGAATAGCCTCTGCACAGACTCAGCGATTGAAAGGCGATCATTAGGATCAGTGAGGACGGTGATTTGTGCCCACTCATAGATGCAAGTTGTCTGTTTGGATGCAGGGTGGTTATTTAGAGGCAGAGAAGAAGAAGCTGGAGAAAGTAAACCCACAGTGTGGTTTTCCTGACATGCTCAGATGGATCTACACAGGTGGACGCACCCATTACTTGGTAAACTTTTTTTTACCCAAGCATGGAAAGAGGAGGGGCAAGAAAGGAGAAGAAGCGTGCGAAGAGAGAAGCACCACAGCCTCTCAGATCTGTCAGTGAAGAACGCCATCACTGATACCCTTCCCAATAATGTGTTCCAGGTCAATATCCTCTATCGACGCCAAGGAGGATATGATTTCAGTGGGATTCGTTTATCTACTTGTCAGCAGGAATACAGAAGAAGCGTCCGATTTGTATGAATCGTGTAAGAGGGTAGCATGAGCCAAAGAGAACTATTATTAACATACATGTTGGACCCAAATGATGGCCAAAGCCATAGCCTTGGCCAAGGCCGGCGCTCTTGATTGCCCTCCAAATATAAATGTACTCTTTAATTAATATGAATGTTTTTCCCTGTTTTCCCTATACATTTGACAGTACTGGATGTCTGTATGTCCTGTAAGAGTAATACAAGTGTTGTATGGTGTACAGGTTGTAAATACCTTCGTGGAGTTTTCTCTGTATAAATGAATTGTAAGGACAGGACTTACATTTTACTTATATTATTCAAACGAATGGTTAAAGTCAGAGATATCTTTGCATTTAAAGCCTAACATATATAACTTTGGGTCGGCTCACCCCGATCCAAGATAACTCAACTCTGCACCCTGGCTCAAGTTAAGCTCTTGGTTTGGTTTGGCTCTATACTTCTAGCTGTAAGACTATTTTAGGATAAAGAAGATAGTGATGGCTCCACTCACAGCCCAACTCTTTTGTCTGGGAGGGAGAAGGTGGACAATTCATTCCTTAGTTTGTGTTTTTGTGCTGCAAGTCGTCCAGAATATCCTATCCACAAGGATATGGTGACAGATGGGCATACATTTTCAATGTTTTAATTAGTGTCTTCACTTTGTGAACGGTATCTCTGTGGCGCTACCAGCAGCCTGTGTGTGTGTGTGTGTGTGTGTGTGTGTGTGTGTGTGTGTGTGTGTGTGTGTGTGTGTGTGTGTGTGTGTGTGTGTGTGTGTGTGTGTGTGTGTGTGTGTGTGTGTGTGTGTGTGTGTGTTTCCAACCAGCCGCCCACTAAACAAGGTGTCTGTGGGAGTTAGACGGCAGCGTGTTCCTGGCATGCAGCTCTCTGCATCTCTCCAGGGAGCATTATGGGATTGTTGGTCTCGCTGCCAACGGGACCAAAGGGAGCAGCAGTCATCCATCTGGGCTCATCTACTCTATGGACGACATCCATAAAAGATGAGAAAGAAACTCTTCTGGCTGGGAGGCAGGAATATGTTGCCAGGACTAAGCAGGTTTTTCTTTTTCAATAAACACTGCATTCAGACGGGCACATTCTCCCAACATATTGGAAATCTTCACCAGAATGTACATTAAATGTCAAACTTGAGCTGTGATTCAGTCAAAGCATCACCAAAGTTGATGCATAAATACGAATTACCTTTGATTATTTCCATTACAAATCATTCAGCTCATAGCCCGCAGTATGTAAGGATGACAGTCATCCAAGCTATGGTGGAGATAAAAAGAATGAAACTCCAATCAGCCTCAAACAGTCATGCTGCTCTAATCATCTACTCTAAAAGCAATCCAGAGAAAGCTGCTTGGCAGGAAGTTCATTTGCATCCTTACAGTCAAGGACATCTAGCAGCTGTTGGGAAGGATGAAGACACTTTGTTCTCTATGTATACCTCCACTATGGGGACAGAGACATTTCATAAGCATGAATACCTAACCGGAAAACTACTGGAAATGTCATGTTAGAATGTATAGCCTCTGAGAGGATATCAATACACATTTTTAACTTTAAAACCGTCCGAATGTCTGAGTAAAAATGTGTGTGGGCTGAACTCCCCCGTGATTAGACCTTCCATCAGATTATAGTCTGTCCGTCATGCGATCCAAAAAAAAGCAACTAGGGTACCACAATTTCAGACCTATAATTGAGTATCAACGTGTCATTTTCAGCAATATTCTGCTGCATATACTGCCTTCAAACATATCTCATTGGCTTCTGTCCAGAGGAAATAACACAACTTGGTATGCAATATAGATTTTATAAGTATTTTTCTGGACCCACTTTGCATAGCACTGTCAGTGTGCTGGAGCTTTTGCAGCTCCAACTAAAGTGCTTCTGTGTGAGTGTTTGAGAGTCAAACCTTTCCATACTAATCTAAAGTGACAGAAATCAGACCACATGACCTGAGGGACTATTTCTGATTGGCTCAATCTGTGTAGCGAGGGGGGGTGATGAGTTGGGCACCCCTTCTCATCGTGCTGCACGTGGGAGTTATTTGTGTGTGTTTTAACGTGTATGTGTCTGTGTGTGTTTGTGTGTGATGAGCAAGCGAGGACAGGGAGCCCTCCCAGACAAAAATGAGCCATCATAATTCTTCATAATAATCCTAATCCTCTCCATCAGCGTCTTTAAACACTGGCAGGGTTGGGAGCGTCGGGGGGGGGAAAAGGATTTCCTCTTGGTTTTCCTCGCTGGGAGAAGACGATACAGTGTGCTTCTGCTTCAACAACCTTAAGGACAGTCTCACTCCATCACATTGGCTCTGCTCAGTCACTTTTCCTCTCGTCCACGTGTACACACACTCACACTCACACACTCGCTCAGCCCTCGGGCCTCTCTGGGTGACATCATGCTGGATCAGGATTCCTTCACACTTTAATGCATTTCCATTCTTTTGGTCTGATGTCAGCGCATCATGCTTTAGTGTCTGCTCATACATACACTCCATTGCGTATGTATTCAGTGCAGTTCCTTACATACAGACATCAGTGTGTACATGACATGCTTTGATGCATAAAGTCTATGTCCTCATTGTTACGATGATGCATGGTACAGTATGTGTGTGCAGAGAGGCAGGGATAGGTCAATCGGTGCATTGTGTTTGTCTGTTGAGATGAGTTAGAGCAGGCAGGGGGGTTTTGGGATGCACATGGGGTGGAGGGTGGAGGGAGTTGGGCTTTGGTCTGGAGGCTTTCTGGTGGTCCTTGATGTCTCAGGCCCTGAGCCTGAATGCCACATACCCTTTTCTGGGTAAACATCCTCACTAGTGGTGAACCTCACCCCCTTCCCGTCGAACACTGGCCCACAGACGGGGCACAGGGAGGGAGTAGACAGAGAAAGAAGAAATGTTTGCAGAGTTGAACGTTAGAATAACAGAGAAGAAAAACAGACAGACAGACATGTATAAGTCTCGTTCCTAGAGTTGGGAGAGATTCTGATTAAACATTCAAATCAGCTCTTTTTTGTTCTTCGGATCTGCTGTGAAATCCTGCAACATGCAAAATGGACTTAGGTTTCCCCCGAAAACCACATGGCATTTTGCTAATTCGATTTTCAACGATCATCCGCTCAAATGGCATTTCTACCAGCGGCGCTCGGGGACAGTGTGTCAGCGGCAGCGTTTCCACGAAGATGATGGCTGTTATGTAGACATCTGACGGTAGGATGGAGGCTGGGCAACAGAATCAAAGAGCGAGAGAAAAAGAGGGGGTGGGTATTTCTTTTTTCAAATAGCTGTCAGATCGTGTAAAGAATAGACTCTGTGTTTCCCAAGGCTGGCTACAACGAGACTCAGCATTTCAGATCAGAGAAATGTTGTGCAGCTACAGCCTAGACTTCATGCTCTACAAAGCATGAGTGACATTTGCAGGATATACAGCTCAGCATTTGGGAAAGCCTTGCTTAACACAAACAAGGATTGGCTGACCTCTTTCAGAGTTATGTAATGTTAAAATGAAGATACTGCAAATAAAGAAGATTACAAGTCTCCCAAAGAAGGAGAAAGGGAATAGTGTCACAGAGAGTAAAGATCGTAAGGTTACCTTGTGCGTTTTGTGAGGAGACAAAGGTCTTAATGAGTTTGTCTGTAGCCTGGGTGTAGAGCGACAGGGCGTAGTGCAGAGACAGGAGGTCGGGACTCTTCTCCAGGAAAGTCTTCTTCAGACCCACACCACCGGCATGGAAATATTGCTAAAATACACAAAGACAGAAACAAGGAATTTAAAATGTAATGCAATGGTTGTTGATTGATCAATAAGATGACTATGCTATTAGTTGATACACAAGAAATCACTCAAAAACAAAAAGGCTCTAAATGTGGGTATTAAGAGGCTTTGTGTTATTGTTTATATAAACTGAATATTATTTTAGTGTTTGACTGTTAATCAGAAAGAACATGAACCAAAGTTATAATGGTGTTTGTCTTTGTAGCACAAGTTGCTAGAAATGAAGGAATGCTATGCGTTTCCATGGTAATTATTGGTTTTATTTGCATATTGGAAAGCCCAAACCATCAATAGAGTTATTTGTAGATCATTTTCAAAAAAAATTGCCTCTTAAAATACTTTAGCAGATGTTCCTACATTAGTTATAGTAATGAGGAAACATGTGGGGTTGTAATCACCTAAAATAATAAATGACTTTAAGTCACAAAAGTAAACCTCAGACTCTGACAGATGAGGACTCTATACACCGTATCCTTGTAGAAAACTTCTAGAGTTTAAAACCAAGGCATATATTGTGATTAATGTCATTTCCACTAGCCATAAATATTTATTTGTAAAACATTTAACATGGCTCCTAACAGTGAGTTTCTACCTTGATGGTGTCCAGGGCCAGCTCTATCACTGCGCACTGCTTCGGGGAGAGTGCTTTAGCTTCCTCTCGAACCATGTGCTCCTGAACACGGGCAACAATAGAAGCACAGAACAAAAGGATCCATTAGTCCATTTCTTTTTTCTAGGTGATTAGAGATCAGTCTTGATCTGAAGTCAGAGAAAATAAAAAGCACCTTCAGTTTGGACAGCTGTCCCAGCTCCTTGGCGGCGTTAAAGATGAGCTGAGTGCCCTGCAAGAGACAGATAGAAGAAAGGTAGACAGAAAGAAGGAGAAGAGTATTGTTATTATCAGGACAACGCATGGCAGCAGTAAAAGGCTTAGTGTCACACAGAGGACAGCAACACTCCTGACACACACATTCATGAACAGACAGACAGTCTCTCTAAACCGCCAAAGGGACTTGATCCTTTAAGTGCTTTTTTTCATTTATTGCATTTCATTTCATTTCACTACACACACACACACACACACACACACACACACACACACACAGACACACACACACACACACAGGGACTTGATCCTTTAAGTGCTTTTTTTCATTTATTGCATTTCATTTCATTTCACCACGCACGCACGCGCGCGCACACACACACACACACACACACACACACACACACACACACACACACACACACACACACACACACACCATCACGAAGAGAGGGGAAAGTGGTTCAGCTCGTAGTAAGAAAGAAGACACACTAGTGCAATCTTGACACACGTGCAGACACACACACACACATAAACGCTCACACACACTGTGGTAAACGCAGGTATTTCCTGGATGTCCAGCCTGATGTGAAACTCTGATAAGAGTATATTTATTCACTATACAGAATGTGACCTTTAAATTACATCCTTGGTTACAGCCTTAAGCATGAAATAATCTTTTATTAAATACTGTTTAAGGCTAAAACATATTCAATATTAAATATTGTTTAAAATACCATCACAGCGTGCACATTGAAACTGTGATGTTCAACTTAATAAAAAATAATTCAAATACTAGATTTAGGCTTTACAGCCACCTTTTACGGCTACATGATGTCAAACTGACAGCACACTTCTGCGGCTAAATAGACCATAAGCCACAGGTTCAAATGCCAACCGTCACTTACTTTGCCTCATGTGGCTCCTTAAGCTCGGCCGCTTTTACTTGCAAAACAATTTGCAGTTGAACTACAACCTATTTTTCCGTCTGTGATGCATTGCTGCCAAAACACTGAGTGGAATTAAGTGACGTTTGACCTATGGATTGTGGTGTGTTAGAGCCGCAAATGGTTGCACGTAGATTAGAGTGTATGACCTGCGGTGAGGCTGGGAGAGCAGGCAGCTACAGCTACAGCATTACTCACTCCATATAAACAGCACTAAAGAGGGATGTTGTGTAAAAACAAAAACAAAAAAATCAATATTTCAACTGCTTTGTTTGACTGGCGAGCTGAGGGAGCGAGACGAAGACACGGAGAGAAGACATAGAGGAGGGAGACAAGACACATTGATCTAAAGGGGTTTAGTCCTTACATCACTGTGAGAAGCATTCTTCAGCCTCCCCTGCAAAGAGAGCATGTGGTTAATACTTCAAGCGGAGGCCCTGCAGTCTGACTTCACTCTCATTGGCTAAAGTACAATATGCAATCAAGAGTGCATAATGTTGTTTTGCAAAATGTAGAAAATGTACTCTTAACTGCCTGGAGATGTCAGGTCCTTTCAGGTAGTTAATTAGCTTTCACTTCAAAGCAACAGCATCACATTTTGTGCTTTCTCGCAAAACAAAGACAACATAGTTTAACAAATCGCCTGCTGGCAGAGCAGAGAGGTTAGCATTTATGCTGACAGGAGTAAATGGATTCTGTCTAAACTTGCTTTCGCTGCATGTTGAAATCCATTAGTGTGCTTTTTTATGAGAGGCTACATTTACAAGACAGCACTTATAAAGTCAGATATGAGGTCAGGTCACTATAATACGTTTACATGCTATTTACTTGAGTAACGATCCAAAAGTTACTAAAAACACATGATGATATCAAATGTCATCGTGATAACAACCATCCTATTCATTACAAATACATTAATGTGTAATGTTTTATAACATTTTGCAGAAATACGATTAGGATGCCGAGGATGACAGAGAGGAATATTTTAGCTTAGCATACAGCTTGAAAACAATGGGAAAGGTAAACTAAGCTAATCTACTCCCGGCTCTCGCTCTATACTTATTGCAAAGATATGAAAGTAGTATGAATAATCTTATCTTACTTTAGACACGAAAGCAAATAAGACTAATTAACTAAATGTTCTTCTAAAGGAGAAGAGATCAAACTCTAGTTGTAGTTTGTGGTGTAACGTAAACATTATAAAGATTAAAGGACCCAACTGTATAAATAAAATAGCTCTTACTTATCGTACTGATACAAAAATAATAATGTTCCTTATTATTATTGAACAGCGTGACGTTGCTTATTTAACTATAGTAAATACACTATATATGTTTACAACCAGTGGTTACAGTTAAACAATTAAAAAAAGGCTGCAGATAATTTGAACAGATTAACACGCGTCACTAATGTGCCTGTGCACTGTCAAGTAAAACACAGCATAGAAATTCAACACAGTCTTATTTTAAACTAGATACTTTGTTATATTCTGTAGGAGTCATACAAAATAACTTTAAGACATTTAGAGTATTTTTTGCATAGGTCATTGAATGCACCGTTTTTAACCAACTTTACCTCAAACCAGAAAAGTCATTCTGTACATCGAAACCAGTGACATAATCCCAGCATTTCAATCAGCACAACAGAACATGAAATCAAACCAGGACAGACAGGTCTGCAGAGACATACAGTACAGTGTTGTACAGTATACTGAGAAAAGACTGCAGTGTTGAAATAGATCAGATGCAAGCAACAAACCCACAGTGGGCGGTGGAAAGGGGGACACATTTCAAACAGGTGGGGACAGTAGGGGAAGGGCGGAGGTTATCAGAAGGAGGAAAAGGGACTGAGGGGGAGGGGGGGGGCAGGACACTGGATACCGAGCCACCGAGAGATCAGAGTCACCCCACCAGAGTCCCAGTAAAAGGACACAATGCATGAGAAGAAACAAGGCAAGACCGGGCGCAAGAGAGGAGTACCACTTCCTGTTTGAGGAGAGTGTTCAGGAAGAGGACAGCAAAGGAGAGGGGCACTGATTGGTGGAGATTATTGAGAGGGGTGTGGGACCTATCAAAACCAGTCAGGAATGCACCATGCTTCTGTCTTCTCAAAAGAGAGACAGTGTTAGAAGAAGAAAAAGAAGAAGTGGAGAAAAGAAAAGGAAGGAGGAGAAACCACAGCAGAGGAGGAAAAAGACAGGTTTGAAAGTGAAAAGGGAGAGGGTGTGATGTGGGGAAAAAACAGGGGAAGATCGCAGCCACATATAGCAGAGAACCAACCAACCACCGTGGACGGACAGACAGACACACACGCAGGAGTGCTGTACTTACAATCATCTGTGGAAGAAGAGCGGTGGGAGCGGGATGTAATTGTAATCACAACGACAACAACCAGAGAGAAGGGTCAGTCAAAGCTGCAAAGAGCCCCACATCAATCAAAAAACACAAGTTTGGGCCTCAGGGCTGGAGGGACGTGGACCAATTGGGACCTGTCTAAAGCCTGGACTTATAGTACAGGTCAGGAAGTGAGAGGGGCCAGCAAATTAGAAACTTTAAGACAGCAACATTTAAAAGAATAGAAGATATAAGAGTTATAGCTTTTTCTTAGCAACTTCAAATGGATAAATATCTATTACAGAGATGATTAGGTGGCATTTGCGTGAGTCCAATATATCCTGTTTTTGTTGGTCTTTCTTTTTTCTGATTGGATGAACTCATTGGAACAGGGGCTAATTGCTTACCAATGGCTACTGAGGCTCAACCAGTTGTGTAGATAACTGGCTTTTGCTGTAAATGGTGAACAGAGATCAATAATCACCTTATTATCAGTGACATGAGGCTCTTTAGTTAATAACCAAACACAAATAAGAACACATATATCCAAAAACAAAAGAAAACAAGAGGCTGCTTTCCAAAATGTTTGATTCTTTTTGAAAAGTGGGCCAGATCCTTCAGGCAAAAATATTTCTGCCACTCTGATATGAGTTACTCATAAATCAGAAATCTCTCAGGATAATTGTTGTCTGACATACTGGAGAGCAGCCATGAGCTGGTGTTAGAATGATATGGTGCACTCCTTTTGTATTTTTAACCAAAAAAACAGGGTTTCATCTTGATTGTTTGGATGAATGAAGGAACTGGGGGCGATGCTAAATATAATGTGTGGAAAGGAAGCCATATGTGGAGAAAAAGTAGATTGATTATTTGTTTAAAAGGGGGCCATCTTAAATCACAACACACACACAAAATGTCTGCCTTTGTATTCCCTTCCTTGTTCTCCATCTCCTCCTCTTGGAGGTGTGTGTTAGTATGTATTTGTGCATGCTTAGAAGTACGTGTGTTACATGTTTTGTACATTCCTTTTTTTATATCTACCTTATTAACTGGTCATCAAAGGACCAAATATTTGTGGTCACTTATACAAAATAATCAGTAAGCTTTCTGGGAAACAGATCCCTTGAGTGTGTGTGTGTGTGTGTGTGTGTGTGTGTGTGTGTGTGTGTGTGTGTGTGTGTGTGTGTGTGTGTGTGTGTGTGTGTGTGTGCATGTGCAGATCCTCACTAAAAATGTTCTTGCATGTACAGCAGGCACAGGGTGCAATGAGTGCCGACATGTGTGGCTCAGCAGCATGTCTGTGTGTATTTGTACGACTTAGTGTTTGTGTGGGTGTGTGTGTGTTCGTTCGTCTGTTCACTCTCACCGTTTGGTCTGTGAGTGGCGGCAGGACAATGGTCTTCTCCATGGTGTTCATCACCAGCTTCCACAGCTCCTTCAACACACGTTTCAGCACTGTCTTCTCACAGATCTTAGCAAACAGAGTCAGGCTGGCAGGAGGGCGAGACAGAGGAAGGAGCGATGAATAATAAGCAGCAGAAGGAGGCGACCGCGGATTTGAAATCCCTAGCTTGAAGGCTTGTCAGAAAAGCCCAGAAGCTCAGATTTTGGGGAATTTATCTCCTGATTATACTTACCTAGAGTAAGGCAATGCCTTTCTTAGTCCGTCTTATGTCTCTGTTTGAGCAATAATGTTAGCTTAAGAAAATCCATTACATGGCTATAAAATAAAGTTAAAATGTATTCCTTAACATCAGATATCCACCAGACCATTACAATTTCATTAAGAGACAAAACTGTGTCCACCTATCACTATTTCTAAGTGGGTCAAAGTAATAAATGTTCCCATTTAGATTCTATTCAAATAACAGACTGCCTCACTTGCTGTCAAGGAACTCCATGATAGGCTGCAGGACGTTGTCAGCATCCTGGGCCACGCTGCTGGCGTTTCCCACATTCGAGGTTCCCTTCACCTGAGCCAAGATGTCTCCCATCTGCTTCACATTCTCCTCTATGTGAGGCTGGAAACTACAAGGGGAAAAGTACAAAGAGATTTTAACGAAGTGTGCATCGTCAGTAAATCTAAAAATATACATCACATTAATGTCAAACTCTTGCATGAATGACTTTGTGTGTGAGCGTGTTATTACCTGACAGCAAATACCCTGCTGAGATCATCCATGACATTGTTGAGCTTAATCTGCAAGTCCTTAAGAAAATCGCTGGCCTCCACACACAGCTAAAGTACGGATATGGAAACACACACAGAGATGGTTATGTGATTTGGCAGAGAGTTTTGCAATACTAATACCCCTTATGGAGACATTTGGGACTGTCTGGATAAGGCAGTTGTGACCAAATACCAATTAAACAAAAACTAAGCCTGTCAATATTCGGTCGGGATATTGAACTCCAGAGAGGACTTTAAAAAAAAAAGTGACTAACATCTTTTCCACCCATAGCTTCAAACATTTTCTCCAGTTGAACCCTCAGCTGTTGGATGTTGTTGATCAGGATACAGGGCTGAGGACAGAAAGACAAATAGATCTTTATCTTGTGGGTACAGGATTCAATAAAACAATCATATAACAACCATGACCTCACTTCACTTAACAACAGTGCTTAACTAAGACTCAAATGTGTATTATATGGACCAGGGGTGTCAAACTGAATTTAAACTCGGGCCACATTAGCATCATGGTTGCACTCAAAGGGCCAGTTTTATATATAAGACTATATAAAAAGACATATATAAATATTTTATATACTGTATATGAAACAATGAATTATATTACATTATTGCCTCTGCATTGGATTATTATCGGATAGGGTAATAACTTCATAATTAACTACGTCTGAAAGCCTTTCAGACGTAGTTAATTATGAAGTTATTACCCTATCCGATAATAATCCAATGCAGAGGCAATAATGTAATATAATTCATTGTTTCATATACAGTATANACTCTACGTAACACTGTCATTAATACCCGTTTTGCCGAAGACATTACGTCATGGCATATTATTTGTATAATATAAGAAACTTCATACACCGGTGTAGTTACTTCAGTGCCGCCTAAACCGGGGCCCCGACCAACTGTGGGGACTATACTGATACATATAGATTTGAGGTCCGAACTACACTTTTGGGAGTGTCGGTAGTTCAAAACTGGTGAATGGTGAAAGAGTACACTGTATCAACGTTTGTTGACCTTTACTGTAGCTCGCGTATTCTATTCTCCCGTGTACGCTACCAAGACTTTCCCATTGTCTTATTTGTCTTTCTTGTTGTACAATAGTAGTTATTCGATTCGATTTTTTGTTAAACATTTCCTGGGCAAACATACATTAAATAAAAACTAACTGGCATAAATGGGACGTTTAGCGAAGACATCACAGAGCAGAACCAGCCTTGAGATCGAGGACTACTAGAGGTTTCCGAGACCAATCGACGCTTACTTGGGCAGGTGGGTGCTTGTCCTCTTGTCTCTACAGCTACATGACTTGACATCCCGGCTTTCACACGTGCTTAATTTCATAAATTTTATTGACCCTGTTCCGTCGCGTGCGTAGCGTATTCACTGCTTAAATATCTCCGTCCCGTCTGACCTAGGTGTCTAGCCGATCTGTGATGTACTTCGCTAACGATCCATCTTCTACACTAAACTCCCCGGATCAATACTAACTTTAGACCGGGAATTGTGTTTTATCTCCGACTTAAATCCAGTAATCTCTGGTTGTGAATTTTTTTCTCAGAATTTGACTTTTTTTCTTAAAAATATTCATTTTTTCTCAGAATCTGACTTTTTTTTCAAAATTTCATTTCATTTTTTTGATTTTGACTTTTTTTTTTTTCAGAATTTGGCTTTTCTTTTAAAATCATTTTGTGACATTCTCACTGAAGAGACTTGCAATTGTTTACCCTAGACTTCTGCTTTCAGACGTAGTCATACTTGCCAACCTTGAGACCTCAGAAATCGG